ACAACAGACATATAACTGGTGCCCTCATTCAAGGAAACAATGTCTCCCCCTCACAGGTACCCCGAACCCTCCTCTGGTTGACCATCGAGCTAGCCATTGTGGGCTCTGACATGCAGGAAGTCATTGGCACGGCCATCGCTTTCAATCTGCTCTCAGCGGGAAGGTATCACATGCCCAGGGCTGGGGAATAACCAGTTCCCTCCCCAGGAGCACCTCCCTGTGTCTATGTTAGCCTTCATTCCCTCTGGTTAGCCTTCATTCCCTCCGACTTACGGCTGTTGTTGCTCTGTTTCCTGGAATGTAAAGTGACTTATGTAAAGTCATAATTGTGTGACATAGCACAGGCCACGGCTCCCTACCACACCTGGCTAGGCCCTTCCTGGGGCATCTAGGCATTTTCAATACTCCCCACATTCCCTTTACCCTAGCTGTCCAGGTCACTTGGGTTCCTGCTCCCAGGAGGCTGAATCCAGTTTCCTCAGTGAGGGTGGACACTTTAGGTCTGGACCAGCCTGGGCTGACCTGGCCATTGTGGTCCACTGTGGTTTCAGAATCCCACTGTGGGGTGGAGTCCTGATCACCATAGTTGACACCTTCTTCTTCCTCTTCCTGGATAACTATGGTGAGGAAAAGCCCTCTTCCTAAGGGATGGGAGGAAGCAGTTTGCCCTCATGGAAAACTGCTCTGCTGGGAGGGGCCTGGCTTCCTCCCTGTCCCCCTCACTCCAGTCACTGGCTTGATCATGCTACTCTGGCTTCCGGTTTCTTCCTGAGTAACACAGGAAAGAATAACCCAGACGTCAAAGGCTGTGGTGAAATTTCAGGGAGGGAAATATATGTTAAGCCCTTGGTCCAGTGCCTGGGACAAAGTGCTTAAAGTATCAGGGGATGCACAAGCATTTACGTGACAGGGTTTTTGCCTTGTGTTATATGCTCTTTTGTGGTGCCCTAGGGTTGCGAAAGCTGGAAGCTTTTTTTGGATTCCTTATTATCATCATGGCCTTGACTTTTGGCTATGAGGTAGGAAGTCAGAGCTGTGCCCCTCTCCTCCAAGATCACTTCCTTCCCTTCCTCCTGGGTAGCTAGGGAAGTGGTCCTTAGTCACACTCCCTACCTGCCCCCCTGGGATAGAGTGGATGAGGGTGGACTGGTGTCTGCAGCCTTAGTGGGCTGACCAGATTCCTTCCCACAGTATGTGGTAGCAAGTCCTGCTCAGGGAGCGCTTCTTCGGGGCCTGTTCCTGCCCTCCTGCCAGGGCTGTGGTCACCCTGAGCTGTTGCAGGCTGTGGGGATCGTTGGAGCCATCATTATGCCTCACAACATTTACCTGCACTCAGCCTTGGTCAAGGTGAGCTGAGAGGAGGGAAGAATAGACACCTCCCTCTGGGCCTGGACCCACCCCTCAGACTGCTTCTTTCAGGGTTTTAGATAAGAAATGAATCATTGTCTATTCTGTAATGAGTCTGAGGTATGCTGGGAACTGGAGATGAGGGAGCATCAATGAACAAACAACAGTGTGGGAGATATGAACAGGGACCAGGTAAACAAAGGAAGGAATTGCACTGTGAAAGGTACTCATAAAAACAAAACAGAAGCAGACAGAAGAAATGTAGACAGGATGGAGAGATGGTATTGTAAGCAGGGAGAACAGCAAGTGCAAAGGTCCTGAGGCAGGCACTTTTGAGGATGAAGCTTGTTGGATGAAGGGGAGCACATTAGAGAGGGACCTCAAAGGTCAGTCTTCAGTCACACAGCTGATCACTGTAGACCAGGACTCTGTCAAGGACAGAGATGTAGGAAGGGGGCAGCCAACCAAGTCCTGAAGTAGCTACCAAAAAAGAGATTTTAAGGAACTGGGATTCAGAGGGAACACAGATGGAGGTGTGAAGATAGGAGGCACTGTGGACCTCTGAGGAACTTTGGCTCTTTCCTCTCCCTCTGACTTTCGAAGTCTAGAGAGGTAGACAGAGCACACCGGGTGGATATCCGAGAAGCCAACATGTACTTCCTGATTGAGGCCACCATCGCCTTATCTGTCTCCTTCATCATCAACTTGTTTGTCATGGCTGTCTTTGGTCAGGCCTTCTACCAGCAAACCAACCAGGATGCGGTAAGCCACACTGTTCCCATGTGCCAGCTGTGCCACACACATCTGCCCTCCAGCTTTGCCAGGGACTCTAGGCCATGTAATGGCATCTTCCAGAGTCTCCATCATACTCTAGGCTCTAGGCCCTGATCATCTCCACTGTCACAAGAGAGGGTGCTATTCGCTCAGTAAATAATGATTGCTTCTTTGCTTACACCAGGCTTCACCCCAGAGCCTAGGTTAAAGTAAGTAATGATTCCGGTGCCTAGCCCTGAGAAGGCTAGGGAAGCTCAGTGCAGGCCAGTGGCTGCTGATGTGATGTTGCAGGACTGGGCTAGGGGAAAAGACTTGACATTTGTGTTCCCTCTGGAGCAGGAGCAGGCTAGCTCCTGGACCTGGCTCTTGGAGATCTGGACCTGGGGCTATTACTCTCTAGGATTAGGTCTCCAACATGAGACAGGCCTTGGGTGCTTGCTAAAGACTGTCCTGTTGAAGAGGCAGTAGGGACTGTGGGATGCGGGTGGCACTTTGAAGGCCTTTCTATATGAGCCAGGGAGTATGGTGCAACCCTCCTGGGGTGTCACCCTGCTCCCTGGCATGAGGGGAGAAGACTCTATAGAAACTGTGAATCGTTTTTTTAAGATCAAGTGGCTGTAGGGCTGTGAGGAAGAGGGTGCTGTTGGTGATCCCCAGGCAATGTCAGCTCTTACTAATCCCAAAGGCAGGGTTTCCCTTTAGCCCCAGCTGGCCTGGAATTTACTATATAGACCAGGCTGGCCTGGATCTCAGAAAGATCCACCTGCCTCTACCTCTGCTGGGATATAAGGCATGTGCCACTAGACAGGCTGAATTCCTCTACATTTTAAATGTTGACAACAAATTCACACTAGGAAAGAGAACAAACAAACAAACAAAAATCCAACTATTAGCCAAAGTGTCTGGCCAGATTCAGCCAGGTGCCTGTTTGTAGCAGGGTCAA